AGTCAGTATTCTGAGAAAAACGTCAAAATACTGAGATTAAAGTCAGAATTCTGATTCTTTTTCTCATATTAAACTGAAATAAAACGTAAAAATCGTTAACTTTTTTTTATTTTTTTCAGTGGCACTGATCCTCTTTCGTACGGAACATCCACTGTGAAATAGTTGTTTAATAACTTCTGGTTATTTAAATTTACACATACCCAGAAGGGCTGGTCGAGGAGGAGGAGTGGCAGCAGTCTTCCAGTCTGACTTACTGATTACTCCCAAGGCAGTCAATAATTACAACTCTTTTGAATGTTTAACCCTTAGTTTCCCTCATCCAAACTGGAAAGCAAGAAAAACTCTTATTTTGTTACTTTGTATCTTCAACCAGGTCTTACTCTGAATTTTTACATGAGTTCCTTTCTGATTTGGTGTTAATACCGGTACATACATGGTCATCATAGTGGGGGATTTTATCATCCATGCTGACATTGAAGGTAATAGCTAAAGGGGTCATAGAATGCAAAAACGAGTTAACAGTATCATAGATGAATAACGATAGTTCAGTGGGTGAAATGGAAGTACAGAGAAGTTCAAACCCCATTGACATCTCCTTTCTCTGCAAATCTCACAATTCTAAACTCCCACCATAAAACGGGTGAACCCAAACAAAGTCACGAGTTTAGCTGCAAAAAGGATCCCATCCAAGTCAGAAAAACCCAAACCAACAGTTCAGAAAATGAGAAGTTCAAAACCTCTGGAGCAGTGTCATAGAAGTGCAGAAGATTCATTGATTGTAATAAAAGATTTTGTACTTTTCATGGTAGAAGCGATCAATTGTAGTGCTTAGACAACAAAGAAAACCGAAAAAAAAAAATCAAAAATAATAGTGAAAGCTGCAGAGAAGTATCTTAAAGTTAGAGATTTAAACTGGGTAATGGTTGAAGTTTGTTTTTTGATGAAGAAAAAATAAGACTTTTTTTTTACTTTTAACAACACTTTATTTACACAATTCAAACATATAAACAATTGACGTAAGACAAGTGTCATCTAAAAAATCATTAAATGAGGAGCTTGTTAAAATGTAGTTCTCCTTCATCTGACACATCACATAAAATGTCGTTAAAACACAACAACTGAATAAAATCCTCCATGTTCTGCTTATTCTGAAGAAGAAGCCGTCATTATATAGATAGGGGTGGCATTGATATTTGGTTATGTTGGGTTCCAGCACATGAAGGTGCAAAAGGCAACGAAAAAGCAGATATATTAACAAAAAGGGCTTTAGAGGGAACAATTACAATTCTTTTTGGGAAAGGTAAGTCACTTATTAAGAGTAAAGAAATAGAAAATGGCAAAAGAAATGGTAACAAAGATAAGAAAGGAAGCGGATTATATAAGGTACAAAATCAGTATGAAATAGAATCATTAATGAGAGAAACAGAAGGGAAGAACTCATAATCATCAGATTAAGAGCTGGTCATACCTATTTAAATGACAATTTATATTTAATAGGGAGGAAAAATAATAATAAATGTGAATCGTGGAGAAAAAGAAAATGTAGAAAACCTACTGATGAACTGTAAAACTTATGAACATGAGAGGGAGAAATTAGGAACAATGTTTGGAAGGACAGGCCAAGAATGGAATATTAAAGGAATATTGGAAAATTAAAGAAAACATAAAGGATATTCACAGATTAAGGAAAGCATTATTTATTTATCTACAGAGTATAAAATAAGAAAAATAAAATTTTATGTAATGTTGCTATGCACTCATGTACCGTAGGTGGCAGTATGCACCTTAAA